TGGGGCTCTGGGGGGTCTCAATGGGGCTCTATGGGGGGGTTTCTATGAGGTTTCTACTGGGTTCTGGGGGGTCTCTATAGAAGTTCTATGGGATCTCTATGGGGTCTCTATGGGGCTCTGGGGGGGTCTCTATTGGGGTTCTATGGGGCCCCTATAGGGCCCTGTGGGGTTTCTATGGGGTTCTGTGGGGCTGTACGAGGCTCTATGTGGTCTCTATGGGGCTCTGGGGGGTCTCTATGGGGTCTCTATGGGGATCTCTATGGGGTCTCTATGGGGTCTCTATGGGGTCTCTATGGGGTCTCTATGGGGTCTCTATGGGGCTGTATGAGGCACTCTGGGGCCTTTATGGGGCTCTATGGGGTCTTCATGGGGCACTGTGGGATTTTTATGGGGCGCTTTGGGGCACAGTGGGGTCCTGTGGGGGTTTTATGGAGTGCTATGGGGCTCTAAGGAGCCCTATGGGGCACTGTGGGGTTTCTATGGGGCACTATGGGGCACTGGGGGGTCTCTAAGGGGCCCTGGTGGGTCTCTATGGGTTGCTATGGGGTGCTGTGGGGGTTCTGTGGGGCTCTATGGATCTCTGGGGGGGCGCTGTGGGGCGCTGTGGGGTCTCTATGGGGCGTTATGGGGTCTCTATGGGGCTCTGTGGGACTCTGTGGGGTTTCTATGGGGCTCTGGGAGGTCTCTATGGGACACTTTGGGGTTTTGAGGGGCTCTATGGGGTCTCTGTGGGGTCCTGTGGGGTTTTTATGGGGTGCTGTGGGGCTCTGTGGAGCCCTATGGGGCACTGTGGGGTTTCTATGGGGATCTATGGGGCATTGTGGGGGTCCTATGGGGTTCTGTAGGGTTTGTTGGGTTCCATTGGGTTCTATGGGGTTCTGTTGGGTTCTATGGGGTTCCATTGGGGTGGGGGATTGTGTGGGGTTCCGTTGGGTTCTGCTGGGTTCTATGGGGTTCCATTGGGTTCTAGGGGGTTCCATTGGGTTCTGCTGGGTTCTATGGGGTTTCATTGGGTTCTGTGGGGTTCCGTTGGGTTCTATGGGGTTCTACAGGGCTCTATGGGGTTCCATTTGGTACTACATGGTTCCATTGGGTTCTGCTGGGTTCTATGGGGTTCCGTTGGGTTCTGCTGGGTTCTATGGGGTTCCATTGGGTTCTGTGGGGTTCCGTTGGGTTCTCTGGGATTCTACAGGGCTCTATGGGGTTCCATTCAGTGCTACACAGTTCTGTGGGGTTCTATGGGGTTCCGTTGGGGTCTCTGGGGTTGTGTGGGGTTCCATTGGGTTCCGTTGGGTTCTGCTGGGTTCTATGGGGTTCTATGGGGTTCTGCTGGGTTCTAGGGGGTTCCATTGGGTTCTGCTGGGTTCTAGGGGGTTTCATTGGGTTCTGTGGGGTTCCGTTGGGTTCTATGGGGTTCTACAGGGCTCTATGGGGTTCCATTTGGTACTACGTGGTTCCGTTGGGTTCTGCTGGGTTCTATGGGGTTCCGTTGGGTTCTGCTGGGTTCTATGGGGTTCTCTGGGGTTCCATTGGGTTCTGTGGGGTTCCGTTGGGTTCTACGATGTTGCATTGGGTTCTGTTGGGTTCTATGGGGTTCTGTTGGGGTTTCTGGGGTTGTGTGGGGTTCTGTTGGGTTCTATGGTGTTCCATTGGGGTCTCTGGGTTCTGGTGGGTTCTGGTGGGTTCTATGGGGTTCTGCTGGGTTCTATGGGGTTCTATGGGGTTTCATTGGGTTCTGTTGGGTTCTATGGTGTTCCATTGGGGTCTCTGGGTTCCGTTGGGTTCTGTTGGGTTCTATGGGGTTCCGTTGGGGTCTCTGGGGTTCCGTTGGGTTCTATTGGGTTCCGTTGGGTTCTATGGGGTTCTGTTGGGTTCTGCTGGGTTCTATGGGGTTCCATTGGGGTCTCTGGGGTTGTGTGGGGTTTCGTTGGGTTCTGTTGGGTTCTATGGGGTTCCGTTGGGGTCTCTGGGGTTCCGTTGGGTTCTGTGGGGTTCCGTTGGGTTCTGTGGGGTTCCGTTGGGTTCTGTGGGGTTCTGTTGGGTTCTATTGGGTTCTTTTGGGTTCTGTTGGGTTCCCTTGAGGTCCATTGGGTGCTATGGGGTTCCGTTGGGTTCCCTTGGGTTCTATGGGGTTCCCTTGGGTTCTATGGGGTTCCCTTGGGTTCTGTTAGGTTCCGTTGGGTTCTATTGGGTTCCGTTGGGTTCTATGGGGTTCTGTTGGGTTCTGCTGGGTTCTATGGGGTTCTGTTGGATTCTGTTGGGTTCTGCTGGGTTCTATGGGGTTCCATTGGGTTCTGTTGGGTTCTATGGGGTTCCATTGGGGTCTCTGGGGTTGTGTGGGGTTGCGTTGGGTTCTGTGGCGTTCCGTTGGGTTCTGTGGCGTTCCGTTGGGTTCTGTGGGGTTCCGTTGGGTTCTGTGGGGTTCTGTTGGGTTCTATTGGGTTCCCTTGAGGTCCGTTGGGTGCTATGGGGTTCTGTTGGGTTCCCTTGGGTTCTGTTGGGTTCGTTGGGGTCTCTGGGGTTCCGTTGGGGTCTCTGGGGTTCCGTTGGGTTCTTTGGGGTTCCGTTGGGTTCTATGGGGTTCCGTTGGGTTCTCTGGGGTTCTGCTGGGTTCTATGGGGTTCCGTTGGGTTCTGTTGGGTTTCTATTTGGGGTTCTATTTGGGTCTCTGGAGTTCTGTTGGGTTCTATTGGATTCCGTTGGGTTCTCTGGGGTTCTGCTGGGTTTTATTGGGTTCTGCTGGGTTCTATGGGGTTCCGTTGGGTTCTGTTGGGTTCTATGGGGTTCCGTTGGGGTCTCTGGGGTTGTGTGGGGTTCCGTTGGGTTTTGTTGGGTTTCTATTTGGGGTTCCATTTGGATCTCTGGGGTTCTGTTGGGTTCTATTGGGTTCCGTTGGGTTCTATGGGGTTCCATTGGGTTCTGTGGGGTTCTATGGTGTTCCTTTGGGGTCTCTGGAGTTGTGTGGGGTTCTGTTGGGTTCCCTTGAGGTCCGTTGGGTTCTGTCGGGTTCTATCGGGTTCTGTCGGGTTCTATGGGGTGACTTTGGGTCCGCTGAGTGGTTCTGGGTCCCGCGGTGGGGATTTTGGGGGTGACCCCATTGTCTGCCCCCATTTCCCCGCAGTGATCCTACTGAGCTCCTCGGGACCCGAAAGCGTCTGGAACCGAGCGGCCCGAGCTCTGGCCAACCTGGCTCTGGAACCCGATGGGGCGCGGGATGTCCTCGAGGCAGGTGGGCGTCCCCAAGGGTCCCCAAGGGTTCCTCGGGGTTTTTGGGGGTCTTTTGGGGTCTCTATGGGATTTCTGGTGGTGGTTATGGGGTCTCTGAGGGTCCAACTGGAGATCCCCAGTATCAGATTTGGGGTCTTATGGAGGTTTGTGGTGTCCCTGAGGTGTCCCCAAACGTCCCCATGGGGTCCCAAAGGTTCCTCTTGGTTTTCTGGGGTCTTTTCGGGTCTTTATGGGGTTTCTGTTGGTCGTTATGGGGTCTCTGAGGGTCAAAGTAGAGACCCTAAATGTCACTTCCAGGGTTTCGTGGAGGTTTGT